GGAAGGGGCCTGTGGCCGCCCCGCCTGTTAGGTCTCGTTTGGAAATGTTGCACGGGTTGTGCCAGGGCCATTGCTCGCCGTGGGCTGGAGGTGAGCACCCCCGTTCCCTTCCGCCCCCGGGATGACTCGCTCCCATTTCAAACGCTGGGTGGCAGGCCTCGGCTCCTTCCCTTCCCTTTACGTTAGGGTGGCTTAAGAGGGACCGGGGCGGGGGGAGGGAGGGAAGTCGTTGAGCAGGTGCCGCCCTGTAAAATGGCCCGACGCAGTGCCAGACCCGCAAGGACTGTGGCACCCTGGCTCCTGACTCATTGGGGTTTGGGTGCTGGTAAAGCGGAGAAGAGCCACGTGGGTGTATGGTGCCTCCCTCCCCGGTGCAACCGGTCCTGGCCCGGTGGGGCGGGTGGGCTGCGGTGCCCATGGGCTCCACCACCCGTTTTAGGCTGATCCGAGACCCTATTGCAGGGGGAGGAGGAGGAAGAGGAGGGCAGGGTGTGCGGTGCTGCCTCCTTTGCCTGTTTTCATAGCTTGACATCGCTGCTGAGCCATGGGCCCGCGGTATTTCCAACCTATTTGTAGAGAATCCTTTTGTTTTAACATCCCTTGTCACTTAGCTTTCAACCTTTGCGTTATTTTGTCCCTCTAGATGCTTGTTACTCCTTAGTATAGTTTTCTTCCCCTTCTTTCCATTCACTATTTCCCTTGATTTTGAGGTACCTAAGGTGCTTCTTGTATAGAGCAATATCCTGAAGCAATTCTTGTCTGTATGATGTTGAAATTGCTGCTGCTTTTGCCTCTAGTGTTATATCCTTTAGGTGTACTGCCCACCCTCCTGGACCCTTTTAGCTTACAGTCTGTTTAGTCATTACTAGTTCTCAGGTTAACCCTTTTAAAGTGCGGTGCCCCTTTTTTGTTATTCTCCTGTTGTCCCTTTGAAGGATGGTTTCCATCGTGTCACGATCGCCTCCTCCCAAGTTTCCTGTCACCTTTACAGTGGCAATCAGTTCTTCCTTATAGGTCAGAACAAGATCACGATTCATAGTTCCCTACCGTTAATATAGTTATTAATCTGGGTATATGTGACCATATGCTGTCTTGTCTTGGGCAATATGGACCTGCCTCCAAAGGAGGCTATGGTATCTTCTTGCAGCCACCTCCCAGCCTGTTTTTCACTCGGGTTAACCCCATCCTTGCCTGCCATGCATTGAGGATAATAGTGTAAATTTGGGAGGCTGCCCTCAGACTACCAGAGATGCCCTAACTTACTCTTCTTTGAGCCACCTTGATCTGACTTAACACTAATTCTGAGCAGGGTGCCTCTGTCCTTTCGCAGGGCTCCCTTTTCCCCAAAGATAGCACCTAGGACCCGTCAGATGGGGAGTTGGGGGAATCCCAGGGCCATGTTGGAAGTGGATACCTGTCACCCTCACTGGGATCAAACCCAGGTCCTTCTAGTCTGTAGCCAGTCACCATACCAACTGAGTTACACAGCTCCCTGTTTAATGTTGTGGTAGGAAGCCTTCTCTGGCTGTAGGACAAAATGATCCACCACAGGTAAGAAGCAGGTGTTTGCTAGGACCAGACTGCCACCAGTGCTCATCCTTGCAGCAGCAAAGGGATGGATGCCTGCTGCAGAAGCCCTGCATTTATGGGCCAGATCGAGTGGCTCCACGGGACAACTCCTGGTTTAGCAGAAACAACGTGCATCTCTGAGATGCTTGCAGTCTTTGTCTCATCCTGAAGAGCATCTTTCCCCTCTGGGATCTGGGTCAGAAAAAGAATCAAACCCAGGACCCACGCTTAGACTCCTAGACTCTGTCCCCTTCCAGTCACCTGGCCTCTCTCTCTCTGAACAGATGTGTAAGGTGTTCCTCATTCACTTTTAACTGGCCTACAGCCTGCCAACTGCAGTGGCCTTACAGCACTGCTTCTCTCTGAGTAACAGAAGTTAAAGCAGCCTATGAAAGGTATAGATTTTAGCCTGCAATATTTCAAATAAACATCACCTTTGTTGTTATAGGTTGATCTTATAGAGGGGTTTTGGACATTTCAGAAGGCTGTGTTCTGCATGAGGTTGAAACTACATACACTGCAGAACCGTGTGCCTCATTCTGTCGTCCGTCGTGTCGTCGTCCCCCCACCCCCGCACCAGACAATAACAAGCTGTACTAGAAATCTGCTTCTCAACACAAGTGTGTGTCTTGATTTTTCAGTTCCCCTTTGAACTTACAAAGTTTAGTTTTGCATAAGGCTGCTGTTTATCATGACACTATTAACCTACAGATTTCCTTCTTCTTTCCTCCTGGCTTCCAACTTTGGTTTTACAGTGATTTTTCACATTAGTTAAATTGAAACTCAGCATGTATTGTGAAACTATACCATATAACCACATATAAGTAAGCATGAACAGCCAGAGTTTAAACAGAGAAAATTGACTGCGTTTTAATCTACCAGAAATCAATACAACAGAAATCCAAGTAGTCCACCAGTCAGATTTATTTTAGGAATTACATAGATTCGAATTCTGTTTATGTTGTGTATAGAAACTTTAACATTTATGTTATTTTAAAAAATAAACCTAACAATTTTTCTGATTCTTTACAGATCTGTTGATACACCACCATCCAACATTTTTTTTCAGTAGTTATGGTAACTTGGAATGTTATTAAGCATGGAGATTAAGTTAGATGTTCTAATTTCTACATGTATCAAGCAAAGGAGGCCTTGGCCTCGCATTTCCTGGCTGGGACAGGTAAGAGTCCTTATATTAACATCTTCAGGAAATGGTTTATAGGTACCACATTAGTTATTAATTTAGATATCAGTTGCTGAAGGAAGGAGTTGGGGATCAGACTAATAATTAAATCTTCTAGGCCAAATTCAGTTCTAGCATAAGTGGGGGCTAAATATGGCCCTGTATTATAAACCATTGCTGAGAAGGGTCATGTTAAGATTGGGGTTATAGTCTTAACTTCATTTTCTCAGGACTTTCAAGAGCTTAACTGTGCTCTTAATTTTTATATTTTGTATTTAATCAATAAATAACCTTCCCCTCCATTGGTTTAATCCAATTACCACATCTGTCAGCACCATTTTTCATGCAAAATAGAAAATAGATTCTTTAAAAAAATGAGAGATACATTTTATCTTTCAACAGGAAAAAGAAGCAGTTTTTCTTTTAGATGCTAAACGTATAAATGAAATTAACCTGGTATCAGGAAAGACAAAAAAGAAAATTCCTCGACTACAGACACTGCTGAAAAATGTAGCTGTCTTAACAACATCACAAAATGGTTAAGTATTAACATTTTATACATTCAGAACTGAATTTTTATTTATTTTAAATTATAAATTATAGGAATTTGGACAAATTTGTTAGTGTAAAATCTGGCCCCGCCTGGCACCGCACGACGGGCCTGACCCGACCTGACAACTCTGCATGTGCAAAGGAATTTGCCAGCTTGGGGACAGTTGTAGGACCTGGGCCCCAAAAGGGGAATATTTAACATTTAATATTTTTACAGCAGGGCTGTCCAACTTGCAGCCCAAAAGGGTCTATCTTGTGGCTTGCAGGCTCCTATCCAGCCACTGCTTCCTCTCCAGCATCTTATGTTGCTGCCGGGGACTCTGGGCTTCCTCTTCCTCTGGCTTCTACTTCCCCTCCTCACTCCCAAGGGTGAGGTGGCATGGCCCACAGGGCCCAGAGTCCACACAGCAAGGGGTGCAGAGGATCTGCACAGTGGGATGGAAGAGGAAGGGGGCCTTCACAGCAAGTGGCCTGGTGTAGGGGGGGCATGTGGCCTGCATGGCATATGCAGCCCCTTGCTGTCTAGAAGTTAAATGGCCCTGCTTAACAGTAAAACAGTTATAAAAGTCTTTCCCTGCTATGCAAACAGGTGCTTGGTTGGCAGGAATCCTTACAACAGGAGAGCTGTTTCTCTGGAATAAAGACCAAGACTGTTTGAAAACTGTGCCAGCAATTGAAGAGTCTACTAAGGTGGTCACAGCGGCACAAGGTAGAATTTTCAATTTGTCCTTTTTTAAATCAGTAATCCTGCTGCCATGCATATTTCTTTATTTTTAATCCATGTCTAGCTAATGATAAATTCATTCACACCCTTGGCAATAGGAAGTACAATTCAGATTTCCCTCCTTCCTAGGGTTTGGCAACCAGTGATCCTTCTGCATCACAACGTATGCATGGGAGGTCACCCAGGCCTTTGATGCCTATATGTAGGCAGGAGATTTTTTTTGGAGGAGTGGAGGCTGCCCAGACCTTCCATCTCCCCGAGACAGAATTCAAAGGCCAGACTGTATCCAGACATTTGGTATCTCCATAGCTGTATTTGTACAAGCATCTAGGGATTGAACCCTGGTCTTTTGTATGGTAGACAAGGATTCTACCACTGAACCACAGGGGACTCCTTTTCACGGGGAGTGCTAACCTAACTGTACTATACGGGCCTGTTCCTCCTTGCTTGCTCTTCTGGCCCCATGACTCTTAAACACTTCTGCTGTGTAGTTGTCCATCTTCAACAGGGCGGGGTGGAAGGTGTTCTTACCTCTTGTAGGGTGTGAAAGATATGGCTTTGAGTTTCCTCTGGCTGAGCAAAACTTAAAATCCATGTCTCCCACTTTCTTTATGTGTGCTGTAACTATTAGGGAAAATTAATAGGGGTGCTTAACCTGGCGTCAGCAATGTATGTTGGGCATGCTCCATTGGCAGGCTTATGCATCCAGTCCATATAGGTCCTAACTGTAGGCGTTAGTTCCTTCCAGAAACTTGGGCCCAGGGATATCAAGTGAATCCCAAAATAGTTTTGGTAGATAAATGCCCAGCACCACTCCTGCAAACACATCCTAGACAGAGTGTCGTCTAAGCACGTTTCTAAAAGCAGCCACAGAATATTTTTCTGCAAGTAGTGGGTGCAGAGTAAGAGTAGGCTAATTTTTTGGTGGCTGTCTTGGGATTGCTACTGAGGAAGTATAAACATACCTTGAGCATTAGGAGGGATTTAAATAGTAAAGGGCCATCCTGGGAAGAATATTCTGTGCATTGTGGATGGTGTGGCAGTTAATGAAAAGGTGGTTCTTGGGGACACAGACAAAGGGGCATCAAGCCTGGCGTAACTGGCAGAAACAAAGTACTAGCAGTGACAAAGATGGAGATGTAGGAGCTTTAAGATGTAGGAACTTTAGGACAACCACTAGAAGCTTGAATTTGCTGGAGAAGAGGGAGCCAGTGGAAAGACTGATGAACCAAAATAGAGGCAATCTTAAAAGCTTTCATAGCCTGGAAAAGTTGATGTGTAGATCAAGGAGAATAGTGAAGAAGAGATTGCAGTAGCTGAAGGAGAGGCTGTTAAATTTATCTCAGACATGAAAAGACTATCCCAAAAGAAATATGAAGGTAGGTTTATCATTTGCCCCTTTCACAAAGGCTATTGCTATTATATTGGACCAAGGCTGCTGTAAAGCTTACTGTTTCAGTGCAGTTTAAACTAAAGTGAAATGCAAGGCATTTCTTTGTTTATTTGAAAGCAGTTTGAATTTGAAACTCACCATGCAACTTGTGTCCCTCATACAAAGTTTACTCCTGGTATAAATGACAAGACAGTCTGCTCTTTGTGTTCTTTTTTTAATTACACTTACTAAGCACAGTTTAGAATAGGTTGTTCTAACACTATTCCGATATGTTAGTCTTTTTAGTCTTTTTAAGTAAAATTTATTAAATTAAATCCAGTGGAGACAGGAAAGGAGTAACTCTTGTGATACAACATTATTTTTTGCAGAGTGTTCTATGAGATTGTATCTATATGTATCAGGAGATGGCAAAAAGGTGCTGCTCACTACTCCTACAGTGTGCATCTTCTTGTGGGAGAGCACAGAAAGCAAAAATGCATCCTCTTCTAAAAATCCTTCATTGGCTGGGCGTTGGTCCCAAATTTTGCCTAAAGAATCAGTTGTGTTACCTTCCATTGAAGATAAAGAAACTGGAGTGAATGTTGATTTCATCAAGAATGAGGTAAAAAAAGGTAGCATCCTTTTTAAGTAGGGTAACTTCTCCTTTAAGTGAAATAGAACCTCAGACTTACCAAGAGTTTTTAGTAATGTCATGGCTATCTTTTTGGCAGTGTTTGCAGACTTAACTGTGCAGTTCCAAAACAAGCTTTAACAAGAGAGACTTAAAAAAAGTTTCATATTGCATGTTGAAAGCTGTTTTTATTTCCTTTACAATTGCTCTGCGTGCTTTTTTTGAAAATGTATAACAATAGTGAACATTCAAATATGTAACATAGATATAATTTTACAGCATCTTTCTTGTTTGTGCTTTACAAAGCACAGTCAGCTTTATATAGAAGAGTTATGTAGAATGGACATTAACCTTTTCCTTTGCATTTTCAGCAGAGTCTAGAGGTTTATTTTAATTAAGTTCTAGAGACCAACAAGAGAGATCTTAATGTAAGGGCTTATCTGAAGAGTAGAGATGCGAGGATTGCAGCAACAAACTAGTAGCATTTTTTCTCTCTTAGCTCTGGAGGTGAGAATCTAGTTTTGGCTCGCAGTCCTGCAGTTTGATCCGCATCAGTGTATATCCCCCCTGCTGCCCTGGTGACACGACTCCTGTGCCTGCCAGTGCTTTGAGGGGTGTCGCGCCACTGCCTGCACTGCAGCCCTGCATGAAGGAGGCGTGTTGCCGAGGTAGTGGGGGGGAGGGTGGGGGGGGAGGAGCAGCGGTGAGGATATCCCCACGTGGCCCCACTGTTTCCAGCTGCACCAGGTCATGCCCACCAGGCTCCAGAGGCCCCAGGGGAGGGAAGCAGGGCAGGATCCCAAGCCCACAGTCTGCTCCTGCCTTGGGTACAGACCTGAGGGACACGGGTCCCCCCTGCCCCCCGAGAGTACTCATGGCAACGGGGAGACGGCTCTCCCCCTCCCTTGGACGAGCCACTGGTAACCCCATCCTGCTTCCTGCTGGGGCCCTGCAGCTGTGCATTGCAGGCCTGGGCCCCAAGCCCCACCTGGCTGGGCAGCAGATTCATCCCTGCCTAGCTCCCTTTCCCCACCACTTACCTGCTGGAGCTACATGCTGCCTGGGGCCATGTGCATGTGGCACCCCCTGTCTCCTGCTCCCTCCCAGCTCCCTGCAGTCTGGAACTCTGCCAGCCTGCAGGGAGCTCATTGCAAAATGGCAAAATCCACGGGTTTCTCTTGTAAAATGAGAAATCCGTGTTTGCCTCTAGTGAAAGGTAAAACCCGCGGTGTACTCCATTTTTCCGAGGGAAACGGGGAAACCCAGATCCCTGGATTAATAATCAGTTATTTCACAAGCAGTGTCCTTTTAAAGTGCTCCTGTAGATGTTAGTGTATTGTACTACAATCATAAAGAAATACTTATTTTTCTGCTCATTATTCTAATATAATAAAAGCCTTTGTCCGTCTGCCCATCTGTCTCTAATGCTTTTATTCACCCTGATTGGTTGTCTTAGCAGCCAATCACAATGCTGACTGAAACAACCAATCAGAGTGCTCTACACAGACAGAGACACACGGCAGATCACTATCCTTAACAGCAGGGACTGAGGGGCAAGGGCAGCACCTCACCACCCCACTCCCCAGCCTTGGAGGCGGCAGTGGCACAGGGTGCTGGTTGTCCTTGCCCCCCCCATCTGGCCTTGCTGCCGCATCCAAGTACTGGCCACACTCCCCTCCCCACTTCTGACCCCCCCCCAGCAGAAAGACCTAAAGATGTGATGAGGGGGGGAGGCGCATGGGGCCAGAGGTGGAGTGGCAGCACCACAGGGTGCTGGATGACAGTGTTTCATCCCTGCCTGCCCTCACACCCATCATTCATGACTGAGAAGCCGGAGCAGGGCCCCCCGCCCCCCCCTCCCAGCCCTACTTCTTGGAGGCAATAGCATTGGGTGTTGTCTGTGCAGCGCTGGCCTTGCCCCTCTGCTCTGGCCACGCTGCTGCCACCACCGCTGCCTGGCCCTGACAAAAGCTGGCAAGAAGTGGGGAAGGGGAGGGGGAGACACAGTGGTGGTGCCCTGCTGCCATCACTGGGCCCTGAGAACAGCTGAGAGGGAGGAGGGGATTGTACCTGGCTGGATGTGCAGCGGTGGCAGTGCAGGGCGCTGGCTGCCACCTGCAAGCTGCCCCCCCTCCCCTGCACCTGGAAGGTGTTGGAGTGGCCGGGGGGGGGCACACAGGGCTGAAGGCAGAGTGGCAGCAGCGTGGGGTGGTGGGTAGCAGCACTCTGTCCCCCCCGCCCCTCCTTCCCCCATCATTCTTGACGGGGAATTGGCTAGTTTTATAATAAAAAAGTGCTTCTCCCTTATATTTTGCATATTCCTATATACTGTTATGTTACCAACTAGCATCATTTTCAGTTGACTTGCTTGAAAAACCAATCCCTTCACCTGCCTTTTAAAAAGTTGTAAGTTTATTTTGGTGAGAACTTTTTTTTTCTTTCTTTCTCTTTTAGTGCAGGCAGTTCTCAAATATGCTTTAAGAAACAAAGGTTTGAAGTTTCCTATGGAAATATATTTCTTATAGAAGTAAACTCAGTAGAGAAAGTAGATCCCTGCACACCTTTTAGCATATGTCTATAAACAAAACATGAGTGATTTAGAATGACTAGGCACATCTACACATGTGCTTTAATGCACATTAGCCTATTTTAATGTGCACTAGCGAAAGCAGTTTTTTCATGACATTTTAATGTGCATTAAAATAGGCTAATGTGCCTTTTTCTTGTACCTCACAATGGAGGTACTAAATTTTAAAGTGCATCAGCAAAAGTGCATTAATGAATGTGTAGACACACCCACTGATTCTCCGCTAATACCATAACTGAAAACTAGCAGAATGTGACAGTAAGTTTCTTAGTGAGATTTCATAATCATGATATCATCTAGGGAGGCAGGTCCTTCAGACATTCAGTGCTTCAGTAGCCAAAATAATAAGTCTTGGTATAATTTAAGTTAGGTTGCAGGGTTCTGATGAGAGTTTTGAATAGCTTGCCTTAACTTCTTCTAACCAAAAATGTTCTGTGAAGTCTGATTTTAATTGTAATAGCAATAAACACTGGACTAATGTGTGTAGGTTATAAAAACAAACAAACAAAAAACCCCAACCTCTTTTGCAGATATTGGGTGACTGCTGCTTGTGTTCTTTTGTGTTTTATTCTGTGGAATGCTTGATGCTGACATTTTTGGTGCTGCGTTGGTCTGAAAACCACTTTAGGTGAGTTCAGAGTCATTTGAAATTTTGCCATTGTATAAAAAATTGTTTTATTGTTACTCAAACATTTTGGCGCTAGATATTCAAATACATGGAAATGTTTGTTTACATGTATGCAGAGTTATTTATGAATGTTAACAGCTGGCATGTATGAACTGGCTTGCATTACTTATAAACATATTCAAGCTACTTATCCATAAATGTATAAATGCATTTGGTCAAACTTTAACTGCATAGCCCAGAATGTTTCATATTAAACAATTCAGTTTTACTGAGAAGCAGATTGTCCCATTATATGATTACTCTTACTGTTGATTTTTGGCAGGAAGCTATTCACAGGCTACTGTACATGGAGTATGGAGGGATAGGCCTGAGGTTATACTACTCCAACCCTTGCAGAAGGGTACCTGCAAGTATTAGCAGCATTTATGAGGCAAAATAATTAGGCCTGTGTAGATTGTGTATTCTTACTCATGCCTTACTTATCGATTGACAACGATCGCTCTGTTTGTGCTCTGTGTAAACATATTAGACCATGTAGACCAGGGCTGTCCAACTGGCTGCCTGTGAGGGGTTAAATTGTGGCCCCTGGGCTCCTGTCTGGCTGTTGCTCACCACATTGCTCTGGCTGTGACAGCAGCCAGAATCTTCAGGTTTCCCCTCCCTCCTAAAGCTGCCATTTCCTGCCTCTGCCCCAGGGGCAGGGCAGTATAGCATGCTATGTGGGGGGCTGAGGGTGAGTCTTGTGGGTGAAGGTGGGGAAGGAAGGGGATCATGCCCAGGGGTATGTGGTTCCCAGGGGCTTAAAAGCTGGATAGCCTTGATCCAGACTATTCCCAGCCAAAAATGTTTCTGCTATACGTTTCTTACTATTTTGTCCAGTTCTGAAAAATCTCAGGAGATAAGATTACTGTTCTTTCATTAGTGAGATTAGTTTACAGTGAATTAGATATAGCTCGGTATCAGGAAGTTTTGCCATATTTTTCCTTAATTTCTTCCTGCTATTCCTTGATATATACCTGTGCACATCTTAAATAACTCTTTCTCCTGCTTTTAAATAGGTATGCATTGTCTTTCTACTGTATTTCCTTTATCATATTTTAGGTCTGGTTTAAACGTCTTCAAATCACAAAATCATAGAAAAATAAGGATGGAAGGGACCTGAGGAAGTTATCTAGTTCAGCCCCCTCTTCAAGGTTGGATCATTCCGTTTAACCTATTCCAGCCAAGGTTTTATCTAATGTGCATTTAAAATCGTCCAGTTGTGGAGATTCCAGAACATCTATGATAATCTGTCCAGTGCTTAACCCTACTCTGATGGGTAGAGCGTTACTCCTAATATCCTAAGTCTTTGAAAAAATTATCAAGGCTCACATTTGTGAGAGCCCAGCAGGACAAATTATGATGCGGGGAAACCAGCACGGGTTCGTGGCAGGCAGATCGTGCCTGACCAATCTAGTTTCTTTTTATGACCAGGTTACGAAACGCCTGGACACAGGAGGAGGGGTGGATGTCGTATACTTAGACTTCAGGAAGGCCCTCGATACGGTATCCCACCCCATACTGGTGAACAAGTTAAGAGGCTGTGACTTGGATGACTACACAGTCCGGTGGGTGGCGAATTGGCTGGAGGGTTGCACCCAGAGAGTCGTGGTGGATGGGTCGGTTTCGACCTGAAAGGGTGTGGGAAGTGGGGTCCCGCAGGGTTCGGTCCTTGGACCGATACTCTTTAATGTCTTCATCAGTGACTTGGACGAGGGAGTGAAATGTACTCTGTCCAAGTTTGCAGATGACACAAAGCTATGGGGAGATGTGGACACGCCGGAGGGCAGGGAACAGCTGCAAGCAGATCTGGACAGGTTGGACAAGTGGGCAGAAAACAACAGAATGCAGTTCAACAAGGAGAAATGCAAAGTGCTGCACCTAGGGAGGAAAAATGTCCAGCACACCTACAGCCTAGGGAATGACCTGCTGGGTGGCACGGAAGTGGAAAGGGATCTTGGAGTCCTAGTGGACTCCAAGATGAACATGAGTCGGCAGTGTGATGAAGCCATCAAAAAAGCCAATGGCACTTTATCATGCATCAGCAGATGCATGACGAATAGGTCCAAGGAGGTGATACTTCCCCTCTATCGGGCGCTGGTCAGACCGCAGTTGGAGTACTGCGTGCAATTCTGGGCGCCGCACTTCAAGAGGGATGCGGATAACCTGGAGAGGGTCCAGAGAAGGGCCACTCGTATGGTTAAGGGCCTACAGACCAAGCCTTACAAGGAGAGACTAGAGAAACTGGATCTATTCAGCCTCCGCAAGAGAAGGTTGAGAGGCGACCTTGTGGCTGCCTATAAGTTCATCACGGGGGCACAGAAGGGAATTGGTGAGTAGTTATTCACCAAGGCGCCCCCGGGGGTTACAAGAAATAATGGCCACAAGCTAGCAACTCTTTCCTGCTTATGCAGGGGGTCGGACTCGATGATCTATTGAGGTCCCTTCTGACCCTAACATCTATGAATCTATGAAAATATCTCCTATTACTATTTAAATCCATTATAACATGTCCTGTCTCCTGTGGATGCAGAGCACAGTTGGTTGCCATCTTGTTTCTCTAGATTAAATAAACCCCACTTTTTCTAACCTTTCTTTGTATGTTTTCTGAACTTCTCATAATATTTGTTGGTCTTTACTGGACTCTTCCCAGTTAGTTTACATCTTTCTTGAAATGTGGTGCCCAGAACTTGACAGTACTCATAAGTGAGGCTTCAACCATGTTAAACAGAGTAGAAGAATCATGTCCTGTGACTTGCATGCAACACTTCTGTTAATACACCCCAGTATGCAAGTGACATTTTTCCCCCAATAATAGTTCATTATTGTTTACTGTTCAATTTGCTGTTCACTAACTCCCAGGCCCTTTTCTGCAATACTGCAGCCTAAGTCATTCTCCAGTTTGTTTTTTGTGCATTTGATTTTTCCATCCATCAGGTACTTTGTACTTGTCCTTATTGAATTTTATCCTATTCTTTTATGAGCATTTCTTCAATTTATCATGATCACCTTGAATTCCAGTTCTGTGCTACAAAGTATTTGTTACCTCACTCAGGTTGGTGTCAAATGCAAATTGGCATTCAGTTCCATCCTTCAGGTCACTAATGAAGATATTAAACAATACCAGCCCCAGGACAGATGCCTGGGAAGCCCCACATGATACCTCCATTGCATTTCCCATTTTTAGTCGCCTGGGACTTCTATCATATTGTATGGTTTAAACAGTACAGATGCCTTAGTTCAGGGGTGCTCAACCTCTTCTCCTGGCGGGCTAGATGAGCAGTGCCTCACCTGTCCATGGGCCAGATCCAGCCTGTGGTCCCAGTCCAGCACTGAGGGTGGACATGGTGGGACCCCATAAGGCCACGTGAGAGGGTAGAGGGTGTGGCCCAGTTGCAGCCCACCCTATGGGGGAAGGGGCATGGCCCGGCCCAGCCCAGCCTGACTGTGCAAAGGGAAGGGGACATTGTCTAGTCTTACCTGGCCCATGGGGGGCACGGGATATGGCCCAGTTTTGAACCACCACGGGTCTTGGTGTTTGGGAATTTGGTAGCAGGGGAAGGTGGCCGTATTAATCAATCTTTTGCATTTCAGTAGATCTCCTAGTATTGTTTCTCTGTATCCTATGTCTACACCAGCGTTACTTCCATTTTCAGATTCTGAGTAGTCCTGTGTTGGTAGGCTTATACTACATAGAGAGGTTGCTGAGAGAGGCTGTAATTGAGAGGACTATGGGTGCATAATAAATGAGATTTTATGGTGTAGATGTGATTTTTGCATAAGCTTATACACAAGGCCAGAATTGTAGTCTAATACAGTAAAATCTCTGTTACCTGGTACTTCACCAACTGGAACACTCTATTAACTGGAGTTTTTGGATGGCTGGCCAGACATGGGGGTGGGGGGGACTTGCACACGACCACCACTGCTGCCTACCACCCCGTGTTGATGCCACTCCACATGTGGTCGCTGCCACGCCCTCACTGCCCCCCGGTGCTCTGCCAGCTGGACACGGGGGGCGTTGGGGGAGGGGGGAGCTTGCATGTGACGATCACTGCCACCACCCTGTGCTGCCTCTGCTCTGCTCTGCTCTGCATGTGGCTGCTGCCACCCCCGCCCCCCTTACCCCAGAGATGCCGGACAACAGAGTTTTTACTGTACTTCGAGAACTAAAGGCAGATGGCAGGTCTGGGTAGCAACATGGGATGCCTGTAGATGTGTGGAGGCTGCTCCACTGCACTGAAATTACAGCGGCCTCCGTGTCTCATGTATCAGCGTCCCCACACTTCAAAATGGCAGCAAGGGTACTTTAACTAAAGCTCATTTGAGGAGCACCCCCAGTGCTATTTTGAAGCATGGGGACACGGATACACGAGACAGGCACTGTAGGTGCTTTAATTAGAGCATCCCTTCCACCCCACCCCCAGAGCATGTGTAAAGATGCCCTTAGAGACTGGTTCAGAGAGGCATAAGCTTCTGTAAGAAACAGGCTACTTTGTCAGATGCATCCACTTGACTTCAAACTAACATGGCTAACTACCTCTCTCTACTCAGAAATAAAGTTTAGTTCATTCTCATCTTCCACCATTTTAGAAACATTTTAGTAAATATAATCTATAGAAGGGTTTTTAAACCTTTTCTGAACAGTGTACCTCTGGTGGCTGGTCAGGAAGCCGGGGGAGGAGGCTATTCAGCAGCTTGTTGGAGCTGGCGAAGGAGGGTAGTGGCAGCCGGTCGCGGGGGGTGGCCACCTCTTGCAAGCTTCTCCCCCTGTGTCCGGCTGGCTGGGATGTTTGGCTTGCAGAGGGGCACCGCTGCCCTCGCCCTGCCCTGGCCTGACCCTGCTTCTGAGGCAGCGGCATGAGGTGGCAGTGCTCTGTCCCCGCCCACCCATGCATACCCCCTGGGAACCCCTAATCTATAGTTTATAGGAAATTTAATTTTCTTTGACGTGCTCTGCAGATCTTGTTCATATATAAGGTTTATAATGCATGAGCCATTATATCCTATCTTAATACAATTTTAAAATCTCTTCCTTTTTAATGCAGTTCTGTTCCTTACCATATCCAGTGGGCACAGCAAAAATGTTCTTTGCTTAGTCTGGTTCCCCAATGTGAGCCAGTAAAGTCAAGAGGAGCCTTGCTTACTGCGTTTGCAAGGGATGGACTTTTGCTGGCAGTAGCTATGAATCAGAATGATCCAAAGGTATGAATGGTATTCAGGATATCACCAATGTAATCCTGTAAGTTAAAATGACCTTCTTAAACTTTTATGGAATTAACCTTTAGATAGACTTTCTATTAAATCATATCCATATTTATAGCTAAAAAAATCTTTTAAAAAGCATTCCTCAGAAAAATGGACAATCTTCCTGACTTTCAAAAGACTAGTATTTGGTATAGAAATCCACTTCAAATATCGTCTCATCTCTAACCTCCCATTACTAAGGCAGACAAAACTCTTGGGGTAGAAAAAATATATTTTATTAGACCAACTAAATAGTAGCAAAAATTTTCTTTCTTTGCAGGCTTGCAGGCCCAAAAACCCTTCGTCAGGCATAGGAGAATTCAAAGATTGTAAAAGTTCTCCCAGGTAGAAAAGAAGCTTTCTCTTGCACAGGGGAGGAACAGGATGTTAGGGTTCTCCTGGGTTTCAGAGTCCATGTATGAAAAAATGGAAGGTTGTTTGGGCCCAAAAGCTTGCAAAGAAATGTTTTTTGCTACTGTTTAGTTGGTCTAATAAAAGATATTGTTTCTACCCCAAGAGTTTTGTCTGCCTCTGCTTTTTAAACCAATACAGGTACAACCTATATCCCTGAAACATGGAAGATATTGTAATTAACCATTTGGAAATGTAAACTTCATTGCTAAATAGGAAAGAAGCAAAATTCAGCTCCCTTCCTGACATCTGACACCTTCAGGGAAGAAGCCTGATGGATAGAGCCTTGTCTCAGCCTAATCTGCCCATGTCACAGAACAATTTTTCACAAATGGACTTTGAAACCCAGAAGAACCCTACCATCCTTTACCTCCCCTGTGCAAAATGAAGTTTATTTTCTACTTGGGAGAACTTTTTCAATCATTGAATTCTCCTCTGACTGACAAAAAGGGTGTTTGAGCCCAAAAGTTTGCAAAGAAAGAATTTTTTTTTTGCTACTATTTAGTTGGTCTAATAAAAGATATTGTTTCTACCCCAAGGGTTTTGTCTGCCTCTGCCTTTTAGACCATCAGAGCTACAACCTATATCTCTCCCATTACTAAGGCACTTGCTTCGTCTGCCCCTTTTCATATTATCTACAACAAATTACACACAGAAAAAACCTATATTGCAAGACCATTAACACTGCAAAGCCAAGCACTTTTGACAGTTAACAAATACCAGGATGTTACTCCTGTAATCTTACTTATGCCTTTTTGAGTTTATGCATTATGGCATATTCTCCAATTACATGATTACATACTCTTTTTAATACTTAGCACTTGCTCAGTGCACAGAATGAAAAGAGCTCAGTGGATTAACAAGCTATTCAGTATTTTGCTTTATTTTGAATATTCAGCATGTATGCACAAGGTGAGGCTGGGAGAACATAGTATGCAGTCATGGAATTCAAGGTTGTATTATGTTTGTGCCTAAAACAGGGGTGGGCAATTATTTCAGGCGGAGGGCCACTCACTGAGTGTTGGCAAGCCATCAAGAGCCGCATGACAGGCAGCCAGGGGCAGATATATATTAATTTTCTACATTTTTTTTAGGGGCCCTGCGGGCCAGATAGAATGGCCTGGCAGGCTGCATCCTGCCCACGGGCTGCATTTTGTCCACCCCTGGCCTAAAAGGACCTAATAAAAGATATACAGGTAGTTTAACAGTCTTGTAGGATAACTGTATGTGTATAATTTACTAAATGAGAGCAAACTGAAAAATATAAACAGCATAATTTTGAATCATAGTACCATGTGCATGGATCACCAGTAGAGTTGGAAGCTTTTGGACCCATAGGACAGAGCTCTGTCACTTGACCTAATGGAGTAACTGCTAGCAGGTTGTCATGATATATGTGGACTAGGCACTGAAAGGGTATGGTTGGTTGTAGTGTAGGGA